CCGCGAGCTCTTCAAGGCGGGCAAGATCACCGCAGATTATGTCTCGACAGAAGAGCAGCACGCCGATATCCTGACCAAGGTCCTTGGTAGGGGCAAGTTGGAGTACCACCGAAAGGCTCTGATGAACCTGCCGATGTAGGGTTCTGGTCTCGTCTTCGTGGCGTTTGTTTTGTTTTGTTCCAGCACTGGGCGCGTCTCGGACCATGGTATGTCACATAGGAAGCGTTGGGCAGGGGCGTCACCCGCAGCGGGAGCTTAGGGCTTTTGACCAATTGCTTCGGGTGTGTAACCATCGTGGCCTGTCCAATCTGTCCTGCCTTGGTCCTGCCCTGATGGTGCGGCCGTTGGAATCCTTTGTGATAGCGACGGTTTCTTTTATGTTTTGAGTTTGTAGGCGAGGGTTTTTGATCCGGATGGCCGAGTTTTTCCCTTGCACCCATTGTTGTATGAGTAACTTAAGTAGATCTGGAGTATCCATGCCCCACTGATGGTTTGTTAATAGCTTGACGAACCGGGGAGGGTGTTCGTGTGTCTAGATACGAGCATGGTAGACCTGCTAGCAGCACGGGGGGGTACGTAGACAGAAGCATGGGTATGCCTGAAAAAGACTACTATGTGTGGGCCCCCTTCCCCGAATTCGGGAGGGCCACTTCTTCCCTTCCTTTCCTCGCTCCCGCGGGTGCATTATCAGAGAGAGTTAAAGCGTGTCTTCTCCTCCGAAGCACGGACATACCAACAGCAGTTGTTGTTTGTTGTTGCTCATGACGTTTGGTGTTGCCGTTGCCCTTGTTCGTGACGCCCTTTCTGGATTGCTGTCTGTTGTTTTGGCATTCGTGCTTCACGCTGTTTTACCAGGATCGACTTGCTCTCAAAGCTTTTCTGCTCGGCGTGTACTCGAAGAGCCTGGTCGCCCTATCCGGCGATTCCGCGGTACCCCTAGCACAGACTCTCCGCTCACAGCTCAAGATCTTTCAAAAGCGGGTACGTGTTCTGAGCCGATTTCATGACAGTTCATTGGCTGGGCGGAGAAAGGAGCCCTGAAAGGACACGATGATGTGTACGCCCTCTTCCTCCGCCGTTTGTTGTTTTTTTCGTTCTTTTTATTTTCTTGTCTGTCGTTGGACCGTCCGGGAGGCGGTGGTTAACTGGGCTAGTTTGATGCCAGATTGTCTCCTGTTGAATCGTTTTTGGCGAAATTGTATGCCGTGGCAGCAGCGTGTGACCTGTGATTTATCGCTGTCGCCCTATTGCTTGCCTTTCCCCGGTACTCGGACTCTCAGACTTGCGCGGTGATCGCCACGATAGGGGGGGGAGGGCAGGAGAAAAAGTAGAAGGGACATGTGTGCTGGATGCATGAAATGTTGAAATCGTTAACACATGATATGCAACGCTCCCCCCGTCCTCTGTCCGAGCTCGCTCCCGATACTGCTGTACCCGCCTAGCGCCTTTCTCGTTTTATGGTTCTCCTGAAGCATCACACACCCGTGTCCACAAGCTCTATTGGTTGCGAGTGTGTTGATGTTTACGTAGTGGTGGCCGTTTTTTGGGCTTGAGCACACCTGAATGCGTTGAAACCCACGAGACCCCCCCCAACTTTCTGTCGTTGTTTTGTTGACGCGAACAAACCAAGGGAGGGTGCTCTTCCCACTCGGGAGGGACGCATGTCTCTTGTTCAAGATCAGATAGTCACGCTAAGCAACGAAGGAGTCGGGCGCGCGTTCTCTTTCCACCGCCCCCCGTCGGTGTTTCGTCGCTGCTGCTGCTGTGTCGTCAGTGTTTTCCCCAAGCCGCTTGTGTAATTTCGCGCGTTTCTGTCTCTCCCCGTACGGAAGTGAATATTTCTGATTTCGATGATATTATCTCTGACTTTCTTGGTTTCGCTGTCACTCTTTCGTGGTGAAAATCACAATCAAAACAAAAGGCGGCTGCGTTGGAGCAACGACAACTCGAGCTGAGAGCTTCGCTGACTGCTGGCGAGCTAAAAGCGGCCCTCGCCAGCGCTAGCGCCAAGCTTAGGGCACCATTCTCGGCCGGAATAGGGGCGTTCCAGGGGAAAATGGATTAATACTCCCATATTTGTGGGCGGATGACCACCGCTTCAGAGGGGGTTCCGGGAATCAATGCCGGCCAGGACAGGGGGCACTCTTGGTGCACCAACTATTGGTGTCGTGTGTGTGTTTGTGAGGGTGTGTGCGAGTAGTTTGAAGCAAACCTTCCTCATGTACTTGTCCAAGGTGTTGGCCCGTCTGGAGAGAAGTCGCGCGCACAACTGTCTGGCATTAGGTTCTGTGAGTGGTGTACGCCCTGCTGCAAGAAGGTCACCCACATTTTGATGTTGAGAGCGCTGCTACCTACCACGTCACTTCGCACATTTTGTTTTGGGCTGTTCATCCCGTGTGGTCAAGGTGTTCTTGCACGTTGGCTGCATGCAGAGGGCTCCGTGCGTTATCCGCGTTACTCCTTGCTTTATCTTTTTTACTTCTGGCCTCGTTCTTGCTTGTGGTGGGCACGAGTGTCTCGCCTCCGATCGCTTGGTGGGCACGGACAGAAGTGGACG